TGTTTTAAGTTGAGTCTTATTACATATGACGGCCCAACTGGCACTCCTAGAAGCCACGAAATAAAAAAAATTAATTTAATTACATAATATGACAATAATTGCCAAATATATCTATACTAGCATTGCCCGCGGCTCCGCCCGCGTTTAGATGACCAAAAACCAAATTGTTAGGTTTTACATATTAGTATACTCTTACATTGCAGTTTTTGCATTTTTTTCTCAGAAATGAGATATTTTCCCGCAGTAAAAAGCATCCTATATGTTGACCCGGATAACCAGCTATCACCATACCGAATTTCATGAAAATCCCTCCAGTGGTTTTTCTGTGATGCGGTAACAGACAGACAGACAGACAAAAAATCTAAATACTATAGATTCGGCCTCTGTATCGATAATAATGTTATTTCAATAAGATTTTATAGTTTTTTTTTTATTTTTTTTTGTTTTCATTATTTTTTGCAAGTGTATTTCTGATGTCAAACAAAATAGCGGTTTGATTATGAAATTCATATTTAATATTGTTAAATATATTGTTTCTTTTGTCATATATTGAAAATAATCGCTGAAACTGTTAAAAGAGAAATAATAATGAAGAAAATGAATAGTAATGCTCTACAGACTGATTTCGGCCACGACGGACAATTCATTGAGATTAGCTATATACGCAGGAGGTGTTATAAAGCACAATAATGTAAGTTTAATAATAGTTTTAATAATAGATACCTATGTTGGGACATTAACACACAGCACCATCTAGTTCCACGGTAAGCTACGAGGCCTGTGTTATAGATACCAGATAGTTGATACACAACACAGATATAACTTTAAATACGTACGTATTGTAAATATAAACACCCATGACTGGAGTACAGACATTCGTGCTCATCATACAAATGAACCATACCATACCAGCGGGACTCGAACCCGCGACCGATGTTACAGCAAGTAAGGTCACTACAAACTGAGCCAAACGAGTCGTCAAATATGTGCGGAAACACAATCTGCACTCTCTATTCCTTTCACTTTCATTATTCCAGTCACTCTCATGCTCCGGTGGGAAGACAATTAGATATGACATGAGAGATCAGGCGCAGTACCGACGCTACACGTGTTATCAAGAAACGGGGGTATAACATCATCAACTTCCCAACTAAATCATCATCAAAATCCCAATTAAATACTTGGTTTGACCCAGAACTCAAACCCGGAACCTCAAGCTCTACAGCCATATATGCTAGCCACTAGACCAACGAGAAAGTGAAGAGGAGAACTCTTGCATCACTGAACTAAATATTAATTAGACATATTTATAGGTTTATTTGACAAACAAAAATTAAATTACTGTATATTTTAAGACTTTAATAACGCGTGTAATGTGCTTAGTTTTCCGCTACATTACGTTTAAATGGATAGTTCGTTTGATCGTAAGGTCGAGGCAGATACTGGCAGAACCCCAAATCATATTATTATATTAATTAAATCATATTGCTTTGAAAAGCGTAGAGCGAGAGGGAATAAGCAGTGTGTTTCTTTTTGTCTCTCTTAAAAAGGAAATAGCGGTTTTTTTTTGTAAAATTATCTTCTTTACGTAAAATAAAAACATCTTAAATATGCAACTTATTAGATGATATTAGTGTGACTTAAAGAGTACCTTTCGACATTTTTACGGTTCCGTTGCGAAATTGCTAAAATATATAGTTTGTCCATCTGACCGTCTGTCCGTATGTCACAGCTATTTTACTCGAAAACTATTGGAACTACATGTCTGAAATTTGGTAACTCATGATCGTTATAAAGCATTCGATAAGTCGAGAACAAAAATAAAAAATAAAATCGCGATATAAGTAAGCCAAAAACATACTTCCATTTAAAAACAATTATTAGAAAGTTTAATTTCTAATCTTCTTATTACATACATACAAACATAGCTCAATATTTTTTATTTTTTTCTAATAAACTAATGGTAATTAAAAAGAGACAAAAATGGTTATAGGTTATTTTAATTAAAAATGAATCTTATTTACTCTATCACAAAGGTCAAGGCCCTGCACAGGCACTATTTGATGTGACAAACAATCTGTCAACGCTACAAAGGGATTATATGAAGACAAATATTTATATATGTATATTCTCTCATTGTACACATTACATACTGTCAGTGCGATGAACGTTCTCGTTATGGTATCTTCATACAAAATGCAGTTTTTTTATATAATTTTAAAATAATATTACCTTGAAACTATATTTTCGAATAAAAAAATTAAAATTATATACAATCTACTTTTAGAGTCTACACACAAAAACATAAAATCGAATTGGCTACCTTTTTGAAGTCAGTCAGCATAAACTCGGTCGGACTTCTTATGTGTATCATTATATTGTAATGATGACTTAAATATGCTTGAGCTGTTGTTATTGAAATTTATTATTAATTTAATATACAGTCTGAAATTAAAAATTCTACTTTTTTAATTCCATCATGTTGTCGATTTTTAAGTTGGTGGAAAAATTTAGGTCCTTGTTTTTTATCAACTTTGACTAAAGCGGCGAATTTCATTGAGACTAGCCAACTACGCGAGGCATTTATAGTGTACTGCGGTTTTGAATGAATGAATGAATGAATTACTCTTTATGGTACACCCAAAAAGAGAAAAAGAAAAATATACAATATAATATAGAAGAAGGTACAAGAGGCGGCCTTATCGCTAAAAGAGCCATTTCTTCCAGGCAACCTTTAGGTGTAGGAAATAGTACTAAGATAGAAGAGGCGCGAATAACAAATAGACAGTAGAAAGATTATATATTTATACATATACGCATCAAACAAATATATAATATATACGAAATAAATACAAGTAAAATATAATTAAACAATACCTAAATACTTTAACTACATATATAAATACTATACCTATACCTATTATACATATATAAATATAAAATATAAAAGGCAAGTGTAGCAAGAATTATACTGAAGTTCATATAGATAAAAATTATACATACTAATAACAATACATTTAATAAAGAATCTTCTTTAGAGTTAGGTTTTGTTGATAGAAATCCTAATACTACATACTATGCTTGGGCCGACCTGAGCCTCGAACCCAGGACCCCGGATATGCATCCGTAAATGCTAGCCGCTAGACTAATGAGGCAATTGAAAATGGTCTAGACGGTCTTTAGTGTGAAGAGTGCTTATATGAATATTTGTTATTAAATTACTGAATAAATGGTACAGTTCTTAGAAAGTGAAGGTAAGATTGATGTTTTTAGTCATGAAAATCTGTGATGAATTAGTTGTGAAAATGATATAAACAATGACCGCATTCTGGTTGTACCAGGTAATTTAAAATAATATATTAGACTAGCTGTGCCCTGCGGTTTCACCTGCGTTAAATTTGATTATATATGTTGGGACATTAACATACAGCATCATCTAGTTCCATGGTAAGTTACGAGGCTTGTGTTATGGATACCAGATAGCTGATACACTACACATATATAAACTTTAAATACATATTATAAATATAAACACCCATGACTGGAGTACAAACGTTCGTGCTCATCACACAATGAATGCCCCCAGCGGGACTCAAACCCGCGACCGCTGGCACAGCAAGTAGGCCCACTACACACTGAGCCAAACGTATCGTCAAACATTATATTATAAACATCAGTTTTACAGTAATCATATAATGTATGAAAGTCTGACTGATTTCTTGACATTTATGATTACTGCTCCGCTCCCTTGGGTTTATAGGGCATTATGATATATAGCCTATAGTTTTCCTCAATAAACGGGCTATATAACGCAAAAAGATTTTTTCAAATCTGATTACTAGTTCTTGAGATTAGCGCGTTCAAACAAACAAAGAAAAAAGCCAAAGTGTAATAAGTCTATAGTCTTGTAATAAGTCTATTTAAATAAAGCAAACAAATTTTCAATTCAAGTAAATAATACATTTTTTAAAAATTTAGTTCTTTATGGAATAAATACCGCCTGAAAATATCAATCAATAATTGAAAAGAATGATAAGTGTCTTTTTTAAATATTTTTTTTTTTCCTCCTTCCTAGATTTCGTCCTGGTCGTCCTAGTTTAGGGTATTTAGAATATTCATAAACCTGTTTTACATAATACTTTCTTAGATTTACGCGAACATTTGACATTTTAAATAAAACTATCTTTGAATGCTTTACAGCAATCATGGTCACGGGACAGTCTCTCCGATGACCATGATTGCTGTAAAGCATTCGAAACGTCGAGGACCAAAAAAAAATCCAAATAAATCCGCAAAAAAATCCGAAAAAATAGTTTTATTTAACCTATTTTAATAAAAAATGCTATCGCATAGTTACCAAAATTACTTGACTGTGTTTCTTTGTCAAATGAAATTGTAGTTAAGTCTTGCGCCTTAGAATTGGACAACAGGAAACAAATCAGCGTTGTTTTCTTATCACATTGGAGAATAATAAAGAATTTTACCTTCTCACGTCTGATTCATTGTTACTTACTTAATTTAACAAGACCGTAAATATTATTTGGTTATAAATATAAAACCTTTCCACAACGCTGTGATATAACACAGGAATTTAGCATTTGTCAATAATAATAAATTATTATTAGGCGATAAGAAACAAAGTATGTAATTGCAAATTATTAAATATTATTTATAAAAATGATGATATTATATGATTCGAAAGTGGATAATAGATAACTAAAAAATAGTTTGAGTAACAACTACATCGTTGCACCCTTTCAAGTACCATAAATAAATAAATAAAAATTACTGAAAAGTGAATATTTATTTAATAATAATCAATACTAAAACTTTATTTAATTTTTACTAATTATTATTCCATATTTTATTTCATCAAAAATTTGCTTTACTAATTACGCTCATTAAAAATAGCGCAATATATCACCTCGTCAAACAAGATCTCGTTGTCTTGTGTGACATGATAAGATAATATCTAAAGTTCAGTCAGTCGTCGTCCAACCATGGACAACTTCGGTTATCGCGAAATGGGGTGGCCTTCACCCCTACAAACACCAACCCCTTCTACAAATAGATCTCGTTTGACAAGAAGCTATAGTTCACGGTCAAAGGAACCTGAAGAATTTCCACTGAAAGGCATATTTAAACATGTCCGAAACATTGATTTATTGGAATCAGCGTCAGAACATGGAAAGGCTAAAGAATACTTGTTTGTCGGCCCTTCACCGCCAGCGGAAGATGGATCAAATATGTACCACAGTTTTGACATTATGGCACCGGACCCTGAGGCCAGGTTAACAGAAGACATGATAAGGAGATCTCTCTGTGAAAAAGCGTATACATTAGGAGCTGTAAGATTCTTTGATGATGTGGAATGTGGCCTAATCACATCTGATAATATTGAAGAGCACATTTCTTCGGCTCCAGAAGTTGTCGTTAATTTAACTTTATTATGGGCAGCGTTTCTTACAAGAGATGAGCTATTACCACCTATCGTGGAAGCGGGCGCTGATATTCACTATTCGGAACCGGCAGGACTGACTGCTCTTCACTTATCCGCTTTTAGCGGCGCTAGCAGATCTGTAACGTATTTATTGTCTGTAGGTGCCGATGTTGATTACGCTCCTAAATACTTTGCTCCTTTACATTGTGCTGCATTTGGAAACTCTCTTGAAGTAGCTGAAGTATTGGTAGCTCATGGTGCCTCGTTGCATGCAGTGGTACAACGAGCTGGATGCGAAGATAATCTAGTTCACTGTGCTGTAAGAAATGATGCTTTAGAATGCATGGAATTATTCATAGAAAAAGGTGTTGATCCCAGTTACGCTACTTCAGAAGGACTCAATGCATTACACTTAGCTGCAGAGCTTGGTGCTTTAAGATGTCTTGCTTTCTTGTTGAAAGAAACTAAATTAAGTGTAAAGGGATCAACAAAACAAAGAGATAAAGAATGTACGGCTTTGCATTTGGCGGCTTCAAGAGGTTATGCTGAGTGCATTGAACTTTTATTATCTGAAGGTGCTCAAGCGAATATTAGAAATTATCGAGGATTTACTGCTCTTCATTTAGCCGCTAGATGTTCGAGTATAGAATGTGTCGAAGTACTTTTGCGTGATGGAAATGCAGATCCTAATGCAGAAGATCATGATAAGCGAACGCCTTTACATGCTGCTATATGTAATTCTGAACGCGCCTGTGATATCATTGAAATGCTAGTTAGTTGGGGTGCTCACACTAATAAAAAAGATGAATACGGTTATTCTCCTTTACATTTGGCTGCTATGGATGGTCTAACACAATGTGTGGAAACTTTGATTATTTTAGGCGCAGATGTGACATCAAAATCAAAGAAAGGCCATTCTGCGTTAAACGTTATAGTTAGAAAGACACCAAAGTCCTTAAGTATATTGAGAAATAATTTGGATAGTGGAATTTCATTAAGTAGATCCATAGAAAGTAATGAAGAAGTGCAAATTGAATTCGATTTTGGTAAACTTCTGAAATATTCTTATCCTCGTGAAATCACATATTTAAACAGTTTGATTGATGAAGGCCAAAAAGATATTTTGCAACATCCACTGTGTTCAGCGTTTCTTTTTATGAAGTGGCGCAAGATACGAAAATTTTACTTAGCGCGATTAATATTTTGCTTCCTGTTTGTTTCGTTCTTATCTATATATGCACTGACAGCAGTGGTTAAAACCTGTGATGGCGTTAATTCAAAAAAATATGGTGTACCCAATGAACTCTGTCAAAAACAGTCATTGCTTGGTGATATATTAGAAGATAATCCTATCGAATTCGAGAGGTGGGTGTTGATAGGTATTACTGCATTCGAAATAGTACGAAAACTAGCAGGTATAACTGGCTACTCAAGTATGTATCAATACTTTACAAGTTTTGAAAATTTAATGGAATGGTTTGTCCTTCTTTCTGTATTCTCCTTGTACAATATACAAAAGGAATATGGATGGCAAAATCATGTAGGAGGTTACGCGGTGCTTGGGGCATGGACGAATTTAATGTTAATGATGGGTCAGCTTCCTATGTTTGGTGATTACGTCGCTATGTATCAGAAAGTGTTGACTGAATTTTTAAAATTATTATTGGCGTACATTTGTTTGTTACTTGGTTTTACTATATGCTTTTGTGTCGTATTTCCTAACGAGGAGATGTTCTCGAACCCTTTGATGGGGTTCATCAGCACGTTATCTATGATGGTAGGTGAACTTAATTTAAACATATTAATAAACGACCCAATTCTCGATGATCCTCCATTAATATCAGAATTATCTTGCCAATTAATTTTTATTCTCTTCCTTATGTTTGTTACTATTATATTAATGAATTTATTAGTAGGTATTGCGGTTCATGATATCCAAGGTCTTAGAAAAACGGCAGGTCTGTCTAAGCTTGTTCGTCAAACAAAACTTATTTTATTCGTTGAAGTGGGCATGTTTAACACTTGGCTGCCTAAGTGTTTACAGAAATTTATATACAGAACAGCGTTAGTATCTCCCGAAGCTGGAAAGGTTATATTGAGCGTGAAACCTTTGAATCCTCACGAAAAGAGGTTGCCAACTGATATAATGATGGCTGCGTATGAATTGGCCCAAATAAATAAGTTGAAATCAGGCAGATCAGTTAAGGAAATGCTATACAAGAATAAGTATGCATCGAAATTTAAAAATGAAAATCAATCGAACGACCAAAACTTTAATATTGAAATTAGAGGAATGCAAGAAAAAATTGATCATACCACGTTCAATTTGAAGAAAATAGATCAAGAGATGAAGCATTTAAATAATTTGTTAATGGAACAAAGTCAATTATTGCAGAATATAATAAAGTTGCTCGATAGATCTGCCTATTCCCAGTACACTGTAGAGTCTCCGATTTTCTTCCCTAGCAATGTTACTGATATTTCTTCAAAGTGAACATACAACTTTACGTTCATAAAATTGTATATATTTTGTCCCTAACTAGGTAAGTACTTGGCACAGTACTACAGTCAAACTAAATACTTTATTTTTGGCAGCTTTTGAATGAAGTTACGTTGTTGTTAACATTGTAATTTTAAGTTAAGGTATTTTTAATTGTAATTTATTATTATAAAATTATTTTGTAAGGAAAGATAGTTCAAAATTGTTATTTTGTTCCAAATTCTTTTTTTCTTGAACTTGAAACATATGTTAATATTTTTGTATACTTTCTTAGTTTATTATAATATGTGATTTTTTGGTTCAGAGTGATTGTGATATTTGTTGTCAGGGTATTTTAATAAACGAATAGCTAAATAAAACTTTAAATTTTCTTTTCATTCTTACCACGTCAAAATACTTATCTATACATATAATAAAATTATAACTGAGTCGAATGTGTATATTTAATGTTTTTTGGAAGATCATAATGAAATAGTCATTATTATCGATACAGAGGCCGAATCTATAGTTTTTAGAATTTTTGTCTGTCTGTTTGTCTGGGAAAGCATCACGAGAAAATTACTGGACGGATTTTGATAAAATTTGGTATGATAATAGCTGGTTATTCGGGTCAATATGTAAGATACTTTTAACTGCCGAAAAATATCTCATCTCTAAGTAATCTATACTAAACGTTAAAACGTAAATTGGGACGAACCCGAGCGGAGCAAGGGTGAGTTGCTAGTCATTTATACTAAAAGAAAATCTATTTTTATTTAGTAAATATGTCTAAAAATATTCTTTTATGTGTTTTTTTGTTTCACATGATGTAGGATAATATGAAAAAAATATTTACTTCTACAACATTTTCCTTCATACAAATGCTCCTAATAATGCTTTTTTGTTATAGACATTTGGATATTTAAGATAACGATACGAGTATTTGTAAAGATTTAAAGAATTTTTTAAATATTATTGTCTTTGTAGATAAGGTGTAACATGTCGGACTTATGTTATAATACCTTGTTTGAGTTAGCTGACGTAGGTTCGTGATCATCACGTAGCGGTAAGTTTGTTTGTTGAGATTTTTTAGATAACGAAATTTTTTCCAAATATGTTGTCCAAATATATATTTAATGAAAATATTATTGTAAATATTCGCGTAAATCTAAGAAAATATCATTTTGTATTATTGAATAAAAATCACTGGACAGATTTTGATGAATTTTGGTATGATGATAGCTGGTTATCTATATGGGTAAAAAATTTAGGATAATTTTTACTGCGGAATAATATCTCATCTTTAAGAAATCTATACTAACCGTTAAAACGGATCTAGCGACGAACCCGAGCAGAGCAAGAGTGAGTCGCTAGTCTATACATATAATAAAATTGTAACTAAGCCACATCTGTACATTAAATAATTTTTTTGGAAAATCTTATTGAAATAAACATTATTATCGAGACAGAGGCCGAATCTATAGTTTTTAGAATTTTTGTCTGTCTGTTACCGCATAACAGAAAAACCACTGGAGGGATTTTGATGAAATTTGGTATGGTGATAGCTGGTTATCCGTGTCATAATATAGAATGCTTTTTACCGCGGGAAAATATCTCATTTCTGAGAAAAAATACAAAAACTGCAATGTAAGAGTATACTATGCAATATAAGAGTATGTAAAACCTAAGAATATGGTAAAACGCGGGCGGAGCCGCGGGCAATGCTAGTATACTAGATAATAACATATTATGATATAACAATATTTAATTTTTCAACCCATCTTCAAAGAATCATAATTTTAGTATGCGCTTAATGTTCGCAAATTTTTAAGCCAGTTGCTCGCTGATTTATATACATAACAATAATTAAAACTGTTTGCTTAAATTATGAATTTGCCATGTGACTGCACCCGGCGACGTCCGCATTCCTGCGCACACGCGTTCCAAAGCATTAACGTCTGGACCTAGGTCACTGGCTAATTACTAGCTCGTAATTATAGAAGGAAATATGGGTCTAATTTTGCTCGACACAGAAATTTTCATGGTTTATAATCTACATTCATATTACACTGTAGTAGGCCTACATTTTTTACAGTCAACTATCATCCCATGGAGATTCTTTGACTTACGAGGATAAAAAGTATCCCAAAAACTATCTCTATGCAAAAAAACACGTAAATTCACATGATATTTTCTTATATTTCATAATATTTTGTAATAACTATGACTTTTGCGATATAAAAACCTTAGCCTTTCCCGTGACCATGTTTGTTGTAAAGAATTGGAAATGTCGGGGAAAATTAACAAAAATAGTAATAATATATGATCAGGAAATAGTCGGAAAAATAGTTTTCTGTGAAGTAAAGACAAAACAAAAACTCATAATATTTGCATTTACAATATGTAGTAATGATAAGGCACTGCCTGCAGCATCGCTTGCCTTGTGTATTTTTGTATTGTCCACAATGTTGACGACACGTTTGGCTCAGTTTGTAGTGACCCTACTTGCTGTGTCAGCGGTCGCGGGTTCGAGTCCCGCTGAGTATATTCATTTGTGTGATGAGAGCGAATGTTTGTACTCCAGTCATGGGTGTTTCTTTTTAATAATATGTATGTATCAACTATCTGGTATCCATAACACAAGCCTCGTAGCTTACCATGGAACTAGATGGTGCTATGTGGGTTGAGACATTTAGTCTCAAGCTATTTAATTTATTTATTTATTTAATTACCCAAGTGAAGGTCAATTTATATAGAAGCACGTAGATCGAGGATTTTAAGCCTATACTTTTGATATATTTTTTATTTTTATTTGATTTTAATATTAAGACTAACTGTTTTTTAAGTTCAGTCTTTTACGAACCAAGTAAAGAAAATATCTAAAAATCTTCAATATGTTAAAACATATATATATATATATATATATATATATGTTTTAACATATTGAATATATACATATATATATATATATATATATATATATGTCCACAAGGACCAAAAATAATTTTATTACAAAGGAGATTGTACTCGTAAGCCAAAAAATTGTACATTTGGAATTTCTTAGAAAATTTTCTCCCAAGCAAACACTTACACAATCTTATCTATTAATTTTGTTTGCGATTTGTTCATATTACATTAGTATGAGCAGTTGTATTGTTTGCTCCTGATTTAGTAAATTTTAGAAAACATTATTCAGAACTCGTAGTAACACGTACTAAGTCATTTCCTGAAATTTTCCTACATTTACTGGTAACATAATTCGTTGGCTCACTATTACAAGGTTCTATGTTAATTTTAATGAAGTTTAGTAATTTTTATATAGAACTTCGTTATTTTGTTATCGTAAAAAAAACAACATAGAACTATGTAAAATTGAATATTTTGTAGTTAAAGTGCCGCTATCTAGTGGTTTGTTTTTGCGAAACTGTAGCTAATGACACATAGAACCTTGTAGCTTTAATAACTAAATAAGTACTAAAATTGTAACATAGAACCTTGTAATAGTGAGCCAACGAATTATATAGATTTTCGAACATTTTTTTCTGTTAGTCTTTCTATTAAAATTGATAAAGTTGATTTTCTATCCTTTTTGCCGTATCTTTTTATCCTTTTTCTCGACTCCTTTCTTTTCTTTCCAGGGATAAAAAGTATCCCTCTGGTATTTTGTATCCTTTATCAAATCGGATATTAGCGAGTTATACTAAACATACAATTGTTGGTGCTAATAAATAATTGTGAGTCCAAATAAGGCGTGTTTATTTTGAAATTATCTTCTCTGCGTCACCTGTATTTTATTATTAGATATTTAAATATATATTACTTTAACTGCCTCGGTGGTGTAGTGGCTAGCATGTACGGCTGTACAAGTTTAGTTATTGAGTCTTTCTGTATAGTAAGTCTCAGTAACAGCCTGGAGTTGGGAAGTTGGCGGTGTTTCACCCCCGTGCCTCGGAGAGCACGTAAAGCCGTCGGTCCTGCGCCTTAACTCTCACCGGTCGTGTCGAGCAGTCGTCCCACCGGAGTATGAGAGTGACAGGAATTATAGAGAGTGCACGTTGTGTCTACGCGTACATTTGTGCATTATAATATGTCTTGCGCAGTTGGCTAGTCTCAATGAGATTGGCCGCCGTGGCCGGAATCGGCTAGGAGAACATCATCATCATCACTTTAACTTTGGATATATTATATAATACTATTGGCGTAGAAAAGTCATTTAAAAAGATAAGGGGTCACTACCTACCTATTTTTTACTTTATCTGCTCAAGTGAAGATGCAAGAAAAACGGACGCTGTTATTTTATTTATAGTTACTCAGATTTATATACAGCAATAAGAAAACAGCACACGCCATAAGAACATTTGATGTGTATTAATTTGAGTTTTATAAAGAACAAGCCGGCGTCTCGTCGCAAGCTCAAGAGCCGATAACAATTAAGTAGCTATGCTGTACGCGCCGCTGTGTGGCAGTTTAACTGAATGTACTGTTGTGTCGAAAAGAGTTTTAACTCAATTAAAAAAAAGTGGTAGCCCAGTGGTAACGCGCTCGCTTGGGAAACCGAGTGATGCGGGTTCAAATCCCGGGTCTCACACCTTTGATAATTTCATGTGCGAATTATTTCTAGCATGATTACCACTTGCCTTACGGTGAAGGAAAACATCGTGAGGAAACCTGCATGTCTGAGGAAACTGAGCAAGTTTTCGAAAGATATGTGAAGTCCGCCAACCCGCACTTGACCAACGTGGTGGACTATGGCCTGATCCCCCTCGTATTGAAGGGAGGCCCGTGCCCAGCAGTGAGACGTTAAAAAGGGCTGAATATATACATACAAAAAAAACGACTTCCACAAGCTTTGTCAAACTGTTTGAAAGTGCATTATATTATATAAGTGCATATGCATGAAATATTATAAATATGCATAATTTTCTTTAGAAAATTTTAGTAAGGGATTCTAAAAGTTAGGAATTGTAAAGCAATAAATTACTAATTAAGGTACAGAAACGTTATATGTACGT